TCCTGCTTGTGATCCTGCCAAGCTTCTTTCTATTGAGTTTTTAAAAGAAAGAGAAAGAAAAATGGCATTTTGTTTTACGAACATTTATCCTAATAAGATACAGACTAGAAACTATACATAGAAATATTTATACATATATATACACACACATAAATATAGATGTGTGTATATATATACACATACACATAAACGTGTGTGTGTGTGTGTGTGTATGTAAAAATAAAGAATATATGTGTGATGTTCTGGCTTCTTAACACTTCTACCATCTTGCAATTTTTTTCTCGCTGTTTGCAACGTCTCTGCCTTTTGGCTAGCAAGGGTAAGAGAGGGAGAAACCTCAGTACAGCTGTAAAATTCCCCTCCGCTCTTTTTGCAGTATTTTATGTCAATAATTTACTAGAATATTGACATGGACTGTAAGTGCATCCTTCTGGCGAACAAGCCTTGCTCTGAGTAATTGCAAGATTATCTGAGATTTGATTAAATGAACAACTCTGACAGGATTCTGTAATTGATGGCATCCAAAGAGAAGGGTTGGAGAAATTTTAAGACCCTGACTTCAGTCTGCTTCATGGACTGTCTGACAACATATTCACAGCATACTTTTTTCAGACGTTGTATCTGCTTCCTTGCTGCACAAGATGAATATGCAAAGATAGAACGAAACCTGTACAGTACCCTGTTATATCCTGAAGATCTATGATTAGACATCAACGCCCGCTGCTGGGAGGACTGGTGATGATATGTCCAAAGCTCAAAGACAAGGAATGTGACCAAAATTTACAAAAATAGAAAGAGGAACCAAAAAAACAGCGTAGCTTTATGTCAGACACTGTTTGGGTACCAGACACTGAATAACACTTTCATAGCAGAGAAAAGATGGAATGACAAGGTGGGGGAAAGCTGTTGTACACTGAAATACATCATTTGTCAAAATCATCATGGAAAAGCAACAAGAATGAGTCTTCAGTTAAGAGAAACCCATTTTGGAAGAGAGTCAATTTCTGATCAATTTTTTTTCTTGTTGTTGTTGTTGTCAGGGGATTTTTTACCTTCTGCCTTTACGAGCTCAAAATTCTGTTTTATAGTTCACAAAAACTCCAAGCCTATTTCATTAAGTTAGTAGGTCTTTATATATTTAATGCATATATTCACAGGAAATGTTTGAAGCCACTGAGCTGTATCAAATACTTTTGTAAAAGAAAATTGAAAAAACGGGACAAAAAAAGAAATTGCTGCATTGACAAGAACTCGGAATAACCAAGGCCTTCTGAAGATGACATATTTTCTCATAGAAATGCAGCAGAACGAAAAACAACAAACTCAGAAAAACCAGCTTCTGTTAAGTAACTGCCATACACCAAATGATAAAGTGTTCAGTACAAAACAATTCTTATATGTTCAGCAATAAAAGAAGAAGGAAACAAAGGGCAGTATCATCACGTGCAAGCGTATATCACAACTGTGGACACTGGCATACTGGCATGCCAGTTATGAAGATGAAAAAAACTGTATGAGAGCCTTTGCCAAAAAAAAAAAAAAAAAAAGCTGCCTTGGGGTAACTAGGCTTCAGCACTAGCAGCACTTGTTCTATTTCTTTTTTATTTGGCTTACACGTAATAAATAAATTGGACTTTTCTTTCAGATACACAGGAGATTTGCGATTTCATTTCCTTTACCTGTAACTCTACAAGGGGAGAAAAATGACACCAAGAATGCATTAATCCAAATACAGTTAGTGTCACATACTGTCTGACAAATAAAAGTTAAATAACTACTACTGAACAGGATTATTCTTGTCTGTAAGAAACAAGGTCATGCTTGTAAACGTCCAGGCATCATTCTGTGTAATATAATTATATTGGCATTTTTATCCCACTTAAACTAAAATTGCTCTTTGGAGTGAGCCTTTATCTGTCAAAATCTGTCCTTACATAAATGTTGCACAGAATTTTAAGTGTGCTAAAGGTGACATCAAAATGATTAATAGCTTACCCAACCAGTAAAGCACTAATGAGATGAAATATGTGGTACCTCATAGCATAATGTGTCACATTTCTTGGAGATGTATTTCCATACCAGAACAATGTTTAGATCATATGCTTTCTTAAAAATAGCGCTTAGATCGAAACCGATGCCCAGAAGCAACGAGTATGATTCCTTTGCAGAAGGAATGCTGGAACGGGGATTGCCATTCGGGTCTTTGCAATTGGCCAGGGCGAAGGAAGCTCCAAACGTACTAAAAAAATTCAAAAGCCTTTTGTATCCATGCTATATTGGTAGTGAGAAGAATTACAGAACTACATGAAAAGACTAAGATTTGTGGCACTGGAGAGACCTACTTTTAAGTCAGTCTCTAATAATACTTATTGGTGGGATTACATTAGCCCCACAGTTCTTCATGGGAGAAATTTTCTTAATCCTGCATGTCCCAGCTTTCAGAGTTTTTATAGCCCATATCCAGTATAAATATAGATAGTACAGAGCAGAGATATGGCGTTATGGTCTGATCTTAGTGACTCTTCTCCTTCCCTGCCAGGGAATTTCTTCCAATATTTCAACAGAACTTTTCCTTCCTGTTAGAAAGGAGCACTATTAAAAGGCAACTAAAACTAGTGAACATCGCAAGACAGTACCCTGCACTCCTCCTCCAGACTTCACTACCCTGAGCAACTCAAAAAAAAAAAAACAAAAACAAAAAAGAAACAACCCATCCTCCTTTCAGCTCACTCTAAATCAGTCCTTCACTAAAGCTCAAAGTATCTCAATGGCAATTCCTTAGGCTTTACTTAAGTGAAAAGAGTCAGAGTCCATATGGCTCAGAAACAGCAGTTTACTGGTGGCAGACAGAGCCTGCCCACCCCGTGACCCAGCAGCACACAAGCACCAGTGCATCACTGCGTTTCATTTGACAATACAGCCCCAGGAGCAGTCACCTCCTGCGGACTCAGGGCATGGGCAGAGATCACTTGCATCTGCCTGTAAAGTCTCACATATTTTTGGCTGAGCTGTTTTGCCAAGTCGAGAGAAATGGGTCTGTTCTTGGACTGCCAGATATGCTGTTCATGTCTCCAAATAGTCCCTAACCCAATGTTTAGGAAACTAAGGTTTCCCTCGTCTCCTGTGCAGCATCAAAAAATAGGAATGCTTCCTGCAGATTAATGTGCTAATAAAAAGCAGTTGAAGACTGGAGATCACCAAAAAAAAAAAAAATTAAAGTGGGATGTTTTCCCATTGGAAAGAATCACTTGGTTATGAAGACACAACTTGCAATTTCCACAGGATCGTTTAAATTCTTACAGAACATCATTGGGATTTTTTTTTTTTTTTTAATGATGGCATTTCAGTAATGCCTGAAAATGGTACATGGTGAATTCTATCTGAAATGACTCTCTCATTTGTCAGGGATTATCTAAATCACCAGTCCCCAATGTAGGCTGAAGCAACACAGGGCACAAATTAATAAATACTGCCAGAGGAGATCACAGCACAGGTAAAGAAGAGCAGACAGATGTGGCAGCTCTATAGGTTTGGGAAGATACCCAATAGACACAAGGCTGCTAGAAAACAGCACTGGGAAATAAGGGACAGTAAGCATCAGCAGGGGGGAAAGGGGCTATGGCAGAGGAGCAGAAGTGTTGAGGAGGAAAAACAGTCAATGAGGTCCAATTAAAGAAATGGTTAGGAGCAAAAGGCCTGGATACACCTGATCCTGAAATCAGGATTCAGTGGAGGACATCAGCCAGAAAGATCTCTTGCTATAGCTTCCAGTCCTACATCTTTAATTCTTTTTTGAAGTAAGTTAAAACGTTAAGAGTGAAAGCAAATTGTTTCAACTGGGCTGAAAAAGGATCACAGGAAATTTTGAAATCTGACTCAATTCACTTGAAAATTTCAATTTGGACATCATATGGAGATTTCTACAAACGGGAAATTCTAATTCCCGTATAGTTTTGTTCAGGATACTCTGTTAATATTCACCTTTTTAAATGCACAAACAACAACCGGATTCAATACCTCGCTATTTATTTTGTTCAGCAATTAGTTCAATTAGAAGTGCACATATTAACAAGCTGCACTCGAGGCTAAGTAAATCCCAAAGCCTTTGGCTTGGCCAAAGAGAACTTTGCTCTCAACTGCTACAAAAACAGAGCCGCCCAGTAGTTTAGATCAGATTATCAAAAGGAATATGAATTAGAGGACAGTCCCCAAAAGAAAATAGACCTGGCTGCTCTCAGATTTATCTGGATCATCTGCCCTGAGTAGTCAACCCCCATAAATTCACTGTTTTAACTAGAAAATAACCTCTTTTCCAGATGTTCCCGATTGCCACCTAATACTATACAGACCTCTAACAGTATACTTCCAACTAGAAACATGCACAACATCTTAAGCACACGTTATTTCTAGTAACGCAGGTCCGTCTCACTGAAATCAAAGCCTACAACTCTGGATGTAGAGAAACTTGAGCTGGTTTCAAGTGCAACATGAGGACCATGGAGCTGCAAGCATAATGCAAAGACACCCAAAGACACCATGGCTCCAGGCTATCCAGCGTGAATCCTAGAAGTGTGTTCACGCAATACTATTCCCAGAGCAACAGGCCGTGTTTCCTAGCTTCACTGCTACTTACACATAAGCCAGAATAGGATACTGCATTATTCCTTCCAGACTTTCTTGTGCAGGTCATTGCCAGCACAGGGAGGGCAGCACAGTGTCTCATTTCACAGCAGAGAAACACCACAGCAGCTTTACCACTGACTCTCTTGTTTTAAACCTGTGTTACAAATACTATGGTCTTTTCTATCCTTCACAGTCATACTTTCCATATTATCTTCCATAATAAATCTACCTGTGGCATTATTATTGATGCTGCAGTAAGTACCTAATGTATGTTGCACACATTTGCCGTACAATAAATCAAAATGACATATCTTCTTCCTTTCTTCCTCCATATGTTTTAATCCCAGAATGGAATGGCTTTGGCATGTTGAAAATGTCACAGATTATATGAAGGAATAATTATTTAGAGAAGCACATAATGTATAAAAAGATTATGTGAAGGTCAATAAGAGTACTTAAAAAGTTAAAATCACATGCATTTAATAGAACATCACTAGCCCGTTTTGAACTTTAGTCAGTTTTCTTCATTTTTCTCTTCAGTTTCTCTCTATGCAAAAAAAAGGACGGCAACTCCACAACCTCTCTGGCAGCCTGTTCCACTTCCTGGCAATCCTCAGGGTGAAAGAGCTTTTCCTTATACCTCAGAAGGAGCTCTCTCATTTCAACTTATGCCCGTTGTCCCTTGTCCCCTGCCGTGCAGCACTGTGAAGAGCCCGGCTCTACCTTCTTGGCATCCTCTTCGTAGGTACCAGGGGCTCCTGTTAGGTTGCCCTAAGGGCTTCTCTACTCTGTAAATTCTTGAATCGTGTTTCCTCTTAAAGAGCTAGGACATATGCTTTGCTGTGATGAATGTCACTCTTGAAATATAAATTATTTTACTACACACCTGGCTTACAACCTTTGGCCTACAACCAAACTACTGAAGAACCATTTTTGCCCCTCTAATCAAACATAATGCAACACTAAACATTTCAACTTAGTTTTGTCTGTTTTATCTCATCGATTACAATCCTGTATCTGTAGCTATAAAAAGAGTCAAAAAATAAAACAAGGTAACATGTTTACACTCTCTGTCCATAACTACAAATAAAAAATTGCAACATGGAGGTATGACAATGAGGAAAATGCATGAAGACCCTGTAAATAAAGTTTTCAAATGGCTGTTTTACTTCAGTACCTTATAGCTGTTTTCAAATGGCTGTTTTACTTCAGTACCTTATAGCTGTTATTCTTCATCTTACCTGACAGGATTTACCGCAATATTTAGCGACCTTGCACTGAGAGCATCTGTGCAGATGTTCCTTCCTGTTTAAAAAAAAGTAGGTATAAATACAAATAAAGCTTTATATATATCCTGCCTGCATAACTAACAATTGTCAAGCGGGGAAGAAAAGTATCTAAAAAACCAAGAGTAATCTGAAACTCATTGTCACATAGAAATCCCATATTGTTACAAAAAAAGGTATATTCTCAGTACTCATGACTCAGTGCCACGCCAGCCTCTTCGCATCAACAGTAAAGGTATGCTTTCTCTTTTTTTTTTTTTGACCATACAGCTATAACCCTGAGGAATTTGATTTTGTAGATAACAGAATTAGAGCTGTGCAATACAGCTAGTTAATACGTTTATTGTCTGTCTTAAGCAAGTCTTTGTCTTAAGCAAGTGTTATCATCTGCCTTAAGACCTCGCTGTGAACCTGCAAACTGAGACATCAAATTATAACTTTATAATAGAGTCTGAAGTCGACACCTCAGCAGAAGTTTCTATCTTAGAAAAATACTTCTTCTGATCGGTGGGCAGTAAGACCAAAACAAAAATTCGGTGAGAGAGAAAATAAAATCTAGTGAACGTGAGAAGGATAAGATAACTATTAGAGATATACATCACAATCTAATGGTGAACAGCATCTCCTGACTCAAATACAATTTTCTGATGCTATCTCAGTTTACAGTTATATGAGGTAAGAAGAAAATATCAGCAAAGTTTTGTAAATTTTCAGGCATTAAGAAGATATTAAAACACACAGGAAATAATAATTACATCTCAAACATTTCAGATCAATAGAAACAAGAAACAGATTTTGATGCTTCCCTCTTAATTTCCTGTAGACAATACTGAATATGCTGCATGACTTCGGTGACACCGAAAGGTTTTCACTTTCATACCTTAATATGCAAAGCTACCTACATGCTTTATGGGCATACACTAGCCCTGAGAAAATAGCAGATACCTTTTATGCTTTGGTTTGGGTTTCTGGTTTTTTATTTTTTCTTTAAAGATTGAAAGAGGGAGAGGTACATTACAGACATATCGGTAAACTGGACTGCATAATTCTTATTACTACACCTTAGACTTATTCCTGGCCATGCCTCCGACCTTAACGAGGGGCCTGCAGCCGAGTACGGCTCAGCTACCCCAAGGAAGCGTCATCACGTCCTGCCCCCAAGGCGCTCTGGAGTACCCCTTCCTCATCCTTCTACAAGGTAAAGCGAGGGGTCTCAGACAAACACACGCGCCCCAACACACGCATTGTTATAATGCCTTATATTTCACAGCCTAAAATGTCATTATAAATATTAACTCAGCCTTCCAATATACTCGTGAAATAACTAAGTGCCTAACATAGCCCATTTCAAACTGAAAGGGCAAGTTCAAGTTTTCAGTTTAAGGACTTTCCTCTGTAAGATTCCCAGTGGCTTCCCATTGATACTACATACATCCTTCTCACTCCTGCCCCACCATGGCAACTGATGCAGCTAAAACGAGGTGCAGCTCTCCGTCACTGTTGACACCAGAAGAAAATTCCCTCACTCTTCAGTAGTTTAGAGACTGCATCACATGTACTCTGACTCCCAGCAAAACTGCTTTATCATGTGGCCATTCTTTCCTCTTAAAATTGCTTAGTGATCACCAAATTTTAATTTCTATGGGCGACTTTAAAACTGCGGAATAAATCTCTAAAGCCAATATCCAAAGTAGGAAAACCACAAATAGCCCACAAACCTAGAACTAGTTCAATCTAGAACTTCTGAATAATGAATTTAGTTCACTGAACCTAGCCGTGAAATCATAACTATCGGAAGTAAAGGCAGAACATCAGAAACACCCGTGAAACATCCTCTAGCACAAACCAACCTCTCCTTTCCGTAAATCCCATAAAAGGAAAAAGTACTTCACTAAGGTATGAAATTACTGCTGTGTTTCAACAATTAAAATAACAACTTAGGTACTGTTTTTGGATTCTTATAAGCATTAGAGAGAGTTTCAATGGCTTCATTGGTCAGAGATTAAGAGCAGCAATACGCATGGGTCGTAAACCCATGTTATAATAATGCCTTCCTTACCTTCCTACCCGCAAAGCCAAGCCTGGGGACTGAAAAACTGTTAACTCTTATCAATTCCTTCAAACAAAATCTACAATCTTTCTTACATAAATAACAGGTTTTTGATTTAAACATATGAAGCTGAAGGACAATTCAGAGTTAGAAATAAGTAAGAAATCTTCATTTTGCCTGCAGAGGAGAGCTTCTTGCCTTTTAACGTTGAAAAATGACACAACTCTAACCAGCCTATGATAGAGGAGTGCATATTTCTTATTTTAGATTAGGACGTTAGGTCACAGTAATTTGGGAAGAAACACATTTCAGAATATTTGCTGTAGACAGCAAAAAAAAAAAAAAAAAAAAAAAAAAAAAAAAAAAAAAAAAAAAAGGCAAAAAACCAAAAACACCCGTCTGGAACCACTCACTGATTTGGATATCACTAGTCATCCAGATATAAATAAATGGTCACATACTACACACACAAATTAATCCCCATCAAGACTAGCTTTGACATACATTTTGTAATACTAAGCAGAGTATTGCTTCATGGACAGAAGAATCATTTTTAAGAAATTCACATGCTCTTTCTAGATGTGTGGAAAATTTTCACAATTAACAGCACAGATTACAGTTTTGAAGGTAGGTCTTTCAAATTACTGAAAGAACACACTGCAAGAATTTTAACTTGTTTAGCCATCAGTTTGTTATCTTTCAAGTTTGTTAGTGAGCCATTCACAATGGCTCAATTCACAATTCACATTCACAATTCATCATGGGCAATACAACCACTAAAACTCTTCCTACCAACCTAGAATAATAAAGAATGAGAAATATCTAGAACTTTGGTTTGTTACTGAGCTACGCGTACGTATGGCCGTAACTCCTGACACCATCATGCTGCAGTTTGTCTATGTTGTTCTTTACAGTTTCATTTTATGCAGTTTTACATAAAACCCACCCAGACAGTACATGAAGGGTCACGTTCAGCCTTACTTTTCCTGAATACCTTCTTTTTACAGAATATTCCACATCCATGTTAGCAATCTCTGCTGAACTTCTCTTCTCTGTCATACAGTATTATCTGAATTATTAAGTAGAATCAAGCACATATTTCAGAAAATTTATGCGCAAGCATTCCTATGCAAGTTTCACCAAACAATTAACCTCAATTTTTGCATCACTTAGAAGTTAACCCCCTAACTCACCCTACCGCAGAATGACTGAGCATAATACTTTCTGAAGATAGACATTTTTGTTCTAAATGATATTCATCCTAACACCTTAATTATGACTTTGATAAAATAAAATTTGCAACGTAAGTCACGTACCCATTAAAGTAACAAAAAGTCACAGCAGCAACAAGTAAATCACAAATCCACAAAGCAGAGTAACTTTTTAAACTTAAATGAACGAACACCATAACCATTAAATAGAAATCTGTAAGAGTTCTCCAAAGCTTTATTCTTATATCAGAAAACTAGACACTACGATCTTAATATACTGCAAATATAGCAGTGATTTACTTGATTTACTTGATACCTTGATTTACTTCTTCCACGAGATGCCGGGATTTACAAGTGAAGTCACCAACACTTATTCATTTTGTCTTATGAAAAACAATTTGTGGACTAGTCTCCACAAAGCACCAAGCTTTTTCAGTTCCCACGGAAGGTTCAATATATTACAGGATTAGTTGCCTTGTATCCTTTGTCCTCAAGGGTTAACGCTGAAATAGCAACAAACCTGCATACACAAAATCTAAGGACCATCACTCAAAATTTGGGTTTTTGCCAAACTGGCATTACCAGCCAGATTATTCGAATAAGGTCACTCCCCGCTGGCACTGTATAATGAATGAACTATCCATACATCTTTGGGGGTTTCTTTGAATGATAAGCAGATGTAGAATGTTTGCTGCAGCACTGAATAGCAAAGTTACTAATGAAATCATTGCTCTTTCTTTTGATCCTCTTCTACCTCCCAAACCTTCTTCCTTTACATTTATAGCACCCATGAATCTTGCAATACAGCAGTTTAAACATAAAATAAAACACTTAATTTGAATATAAAGAATTCAGGAATAAAATTCATGTATTCGTATATATATGAGTCATGTATTTTAGAACATTTTTAAAAGTGAGACAATTTGCCCAGTTTATTCCTGTCCTTCTCAATACTTCATTAATGTTACAGGTATTATTGAAACAATTCAAGTCACTATAATTCCATGCACTATAATTTCAATGTATTTCTCATTAACTGTAAATATCATCTGGAGACAGTGTCAGGTTACACACAGGTTATCTGCTGCAACTCACCTAACATGATTAGCCTCATGGACGATAAAATGCACACAGTTTGAACTAACACATTCAGCAACAGTATTTTAGTCTCTGGAAAGGCTTCTGCTGCAGAATAAAATGAAATGAAGATACAGCAATTTAAAATAAATTATTAGTTTTCCAACACAACTTCAGTGAGTATTTCCATCTCTAAACCCCTTATCAAATAGCAAGTACAAATAAGGATTTTGGTCTGTACTAAAAAAATCCACAATGATGAAGTAAGAGGGAGCTTCAGTGGCCTTCCTGCGTGGTGTTACAGTTGGGTGCAGAATTTTACCCAGAGGAATTTGGATATTACTACTTATCTTTGTTATTATTGGCTACAAGCCCCATTGACAGAGTAGACCCCCCCCCCAAATGTACACAGAAGACAAAAATAAACCTTGTAATTGGAGGGCAGAGGAGGAGAAGTCCCAAAAGATGGATGTGGACAGGAAACAAAAGAAAACCTCCCAGACAGGGAAATGATAAATAAGGTTGTTAAGGAGGAAGTGACACGCACATGAACGAAAAACTTTTTTTTCCCCCCTGTTTTTCTCCCCCACCATCTTTTTGTTCAAGGTACCGTAGTGGCAGAGCATTTTAAGGCGGGGGCTGAAGCACAGCAGGGTGGCGCGGTCTGCAGGGGGGCTCCTCAGGGCAGCAAAAAGCACCGTTACAAACCTCACGAGAACGGGACGAGCTCTACGTCACAGGCACGACCGAAGAGGCTGACCAGCCTTTGCCTGCACTGGCAGGTCCTATAGTGCCACATTGGCGCGCTTACAACGCGCAAAACATCACCCTTTTAGAAATGCCAAATTAACAGCTAATCAAAGCACCATGATAATAACCAACGAGGCCTCAATAAAAGGAAGTACTTTTGCTTGCCAAAGAAGGGCCTAACATAATTAAAAAACACAGCAAAACCCAAACAAACAGAATTAGGCTACTTAATTTACGATGAAAACGCACCTACGCTTCTCCGGTGATTACAGGCCCTTGACTCTCTGCCTCTTATCACAAGATAAGCGCTGGCTATAACAGCAGGCTTGATTACCACAGAGCGCTGAACAGTCCTTTTTTTACACAGCGTATTCACACTTCAGCTTCTGCCACAGCTTGCAGGACGAAAAAGGCGCTCTCCTATCAGTTCCCCCCCTTCCCCGCTGGATGTGGTGTTGCTGCTGTTCCCCAGTCAGTGAGGCAGCCCTCCCTCCCCCGTAGCCTACCTGAGACAAGAGCTGCTGGTTCAGACGCACCTTTTCGTGTTGAACCCGCTTCCCAAACGACTTCTCCGACCTCTGAGGTTCAGTCAAACAGGTCAAGTGCATAAAGTCTACCTGGGTTTTTTTTTTTTTTTCTTTTTTTGAACGTGCACGTTTAAGACCTGTCACGAAGTGAAAACAACCGATACCCCCCATTTGGCAAACACATCATTCACAGTTTTACTGATCTATTTCTGTCTTTTAGTAACAAAGATGCCAGTAACGCAGCATTCGTAAGGCGGCAGATCTGCGAGCAGAGCGGCCATGTTAAATTCAGCTACAACGTGCTCTCCTCACCTCCCTCCCAGCAGATGAAGAA